TATTTATTATTTAATGCGTTTCTTTGGTATCTGTCTCTTATACACATCTCACGCGCGTGGGTAAATCGTCACGTACGCTGACGGTTTATGGTCTGGTTGCTATGGCTTTTGTGACGTTCAGCATGTAGGGACGCACGTGCGCCTAGAATGTCGATGCCAGAGTTATAACCTTTGATGTCCCGAGATGTGCGTCCTTCTGTTTAATTGCCTTGCTACAACACAACTATAAAAGGAACATCAAAAAAGCATGCAGAAGCAAAGCAGCATGCAACAGCACGATGCAGCACAGCTTGAAGAAGCATACTCCAACAACTTCGGTATATAGTAACATGCATCATCCAAAAGCCACAGCTTACAGCAGCAAAAACATGCAGTAGCAGCAACATGAGTACTGTAGCATGCAGGAGTGGCGTGCAACAGCAGTCATGATGCATTATTGCTTAACCAACCAAGTTTAGTAAAACTTGTTTGTGATATGTTTTATCTTAGGCTGATCTTACACTACCCCGTGGACTTGGTGAGAAGATTCTGCTTCGTTTGGCAGCCAGGGAAGTCGGGCTTGGACATTCAGCCATCCTTCCAAAGAGAGCCATCCAATTTGGGTCACGGATTGCAAAGATGGAACGGCAACATGAGAAGGCTTCAGATGTTTGCAGTCGTCTAGCTGTTAAATGATGCAATACAGTACTATAAAAACAGTGCAATATATAAGATGGCTACTGTGTAGTTCAAGAATGTTTTTACGGGTAATACTTAAAGGATGATCTGAACAAACTTGTTTGACAAAATAATAATAATTATACAGTGTAATGTATTTTGTGTATGTTAATAATTAGTGCTTATTAGTGTAAGCTAAACATTCAGTGCCAGATATTGTACTTTTTTAACGAAATTATATCTAGGCCTGCATTTCTGTTTGTGTTTTCTGTATTCTAGTGAAGTGAAGCAGTGCAGTGTCTGCCAAGTGTTGCCCTGCAAAACAACATAAAATGTCATAATTGTCTATCCTATAATTAAAAATTTAATGCTTGTTTAACTGTATTAATAGGACATAATTAAGCACTTACCCATCCCAGCTGTTGACACTTCAACTTATTACCAGTTACGATGGCCTCGTCTCTAATCATGCATAATTTATGGTATTACACACTACATGCTAGTTTAACTAGAAACAATCACAGCCTTTATTCGACCTACTTTTAATGCATAGAAACAGAGAGGGCGCACTTGCATTTTATTGCACTTGCCACAATGCCTCTTAAACTCAGCATATTTCAATATCAATACATCTTATAGATACCCAACTTTTATTTATTTTCTATTTTCTGTTTAATAAGACGATACAAAAAAAGATTCATAAACAAAACACATATTGGTAAAAAAAAAGAAGCTAGAATTAAGCAAATGAATTAAAAAACAAACATAAAAATTTGAGTAAAAGAGAAAAAGGTTTAAAAGGGCAGCACAAATCAGGCAGGCAAGAAAATGGAGGAAGCAGATCCCTTCCCAAGTGTTTGGTTGGTCAAGAAGATGAGTGTTTAGGTTACGTTTAAAAGTGGAGTATGAAACCGTGTTCCTGATGTTATCGTCTATTGAATTTAGAAATGTTGGTGCTCTATAACAAAAACTTTTTTTTTTAAATCTCGGTGCGATTATGTGAGAGTAAATAACTCTTAAAAATACTATCAAAAGTAACTTTCAAACAGATTCAGAAAGATGGAGAGTTGTGACAACTACCGCTACACTTTGTTGAAATATATTTATTATATTATGAGGTCTCACTACAAAAAGAGTCTCATCGTTAGAAAATCAAAAAATGAGTTGAGGGAAGCTAATTCACAAAATAATGTGATTTTTAACTACTTTGACTACAGTCAATGACTGGGGGCGATAATAATTTTTTGGGGCATGCGCTGCCCGCCCCTAGTTACGCCACTGGTAGGAGGTCAATAAAGGTACAGTAATTTCCTGTCAATTTTACTATGAAATAATAATCGGGAATATAAAACCTCTAATATACCAAATAGGCCTACAATTATGTTGCACTTCATATGAAAGCCTATCCATTGATACCAAACTTTGTATCGTCTTGTTTTAGGTACGTTTTTTGGGGTAAAAACACAAAATTTTGTAATTTTTCATCAAGATTGATATTTTTTTGGTTTCATTTTATTTTTAAAATATACTAAATGAACAGATGTTTCAACCATTCTCTCTCAGAATTTGACCAATTATATGATCTTGACAATAAAATAAAAACGAAAAACTGAAACCATACACAGTACAGTATAAAATATACATTTTAATTTCTAACACACGAAAATAGCAAAAATATCAAAAAATTAGCAAAAAAAAATCAATATATGTGATATACATCAAAGGATCATTTGAAAGCCAACTGTATTTCCTATTGAACACCATTGACCATATGACCATCAGGTATACTTTTATGATATATTTGGGGCAAAAACCCGATTTTTTGTGATTTTTTTTCAGAAATAACTCCTCGGTCACATGCCCCATATGCAAATAAGTTTATATATGCAAAGTATGTTAGAAATAATAGTGTTCAAATATCTTGGCAACCACTAGTCGCGTTTAGCCTTCTTTTTTTCAATTGTTCATGGCATGAATGTTTCTACCTGATAAATGCAATATTTTCTCCAAAACCGACCGAATGCCTCTGACCTTTAACTAGAGGAAATTACCCAGTTTTTAAATAATCATACAAAATGGCCTACTACGAACATCCAGATTATGTGGCATAGGGAGAGATACGATAATGGAGTCTCTCCAACTAAACCAACTTAAGGAGAATACTCTCGAATCTGACTGTTCTGCGTTTCCTTTATTCTGCTTTCCTAATAATTGTTAATCCTAACTAGGTATATAAATCCCACCACTGGTTCATCCCGGCTACCATCACCAGAGAAGATTTAAAAGGCATTTAAAGCATTCAGATGAATACACTAAACAATTAAAGCATAATCATGAATCAGTAAAGAATAAAACAACAAATACAGCGCAGAATCGCATGGCCGGACGCACTAGTGAAAAAAGTTTTCCTCCAAGGAAGGGCGCCTTTTGCGTCTGGATATACTTAGCAACAGAAGGGCGCCCTGTACGTTGGGCACGAAGTATAGGAAACTTGTATGGTTAAAAAGACGGGCGCCGCCTACGTTGGGCACGACTTCCGCCTCATTTTTCCAATGCTAGAACTCCATCTTGTATTTCTAGTATCTTTGATAGAAGTTATAAAAAATATAAAAACTGATTTCATTGCACTTAACAGATACAATAAAATTTGGTGAACAAGAATTGCAGCTAAAAATTAAAGTTAAAATGTTCCATTCACAAGGATAAGAAGCAAAATACGAAATATTAAAATATAATTATTGCTTAGCATAAAAACTTTATAACTATTTTATGCTAAGCATAAAATATAACTATTTTATGCTTAGCATAAAATAGTTATAAAGTTCTGATAAAAAAAAAAAGTTCCAGAAAAAAAAAAAGAAAGAAAAACAGTTTGAAATGTCAACTGGTACAACTTGTTTTCAACTGGCCCAACTGGATTTCAACTGGCCACTTGGTCTTTCCAGATGATCCAATTGTTTTTTTTTTTCTAACTGGTTGAACTAGATCAACTGACTTTGCTAACTGGTTGAACTAGTATACCTGGTCTTTCCAACCGATTGAACTGGTCTAACGGTTTTCAAACTGTGTCTTATATTGACACCATCTGGTCACCCCAGCCTGGATGACATTTGCGTTGGAGCCTTATATACAAATTAGGCACGTTTTTAAAAATGGTCGCCAAAGATATTGGAGTGTACATATAATATGGCATTTGAAGTTATATTATAATACAGGGGGATTAGAGGGCAAAATATTGTACAATTAAAAGTACAGTTAAAAATCAGAATGAGAAAAAAATTCCCCCGTCAATTATTTTTATTTTATTTTATTTTTATTCAATTCGAAACCAACAGCTATAAAAACCCCACTCAGGTTGAATCAAAACGTAATAAAATATGTGATAATTTAAACAATATTGTTAAAACAAAATAAAACAAAACAAAAACTTATATATATAATATATTTAACAATAAAACTATTAAATTATTAAGGTAATCGCTGAAAAGTATTCCGTTTTGTGCAATCAACATGACTGTATGGAACGTGAAGCAAACACTTACTGCGAGTACGAGTCGGAACATTTAAATTAAAGAAAAAAAAAAAAAGAGGACAATCATAAACATAATTCAAAGACTTCTATAAAAAAAAAATACCATGTCAAAAACAATTCTATGATATTTAAGAGTAACAAGAGAGACAGCATAATTTCGACAAGTGTGACTAACAAATCTAGTAAACTTACTTTTACTTTTTTACTCGGAGCCCGTGTGAAAGAAATTGAACTAAAAATAGCTGAGCAATATTAGGTGGGGGCGCACGATTGAACGGTAAAATGATAGCAATGCACCATTGTTCATGAATCTACAATTCTTCCACATCAAACCGAGCATATTATTTGCTTTCGACACTACATAATTAACATGTAAACAAGAATTTAACTTCTAATCTATTAAAACACCCAGAACCTTTTAAAAAGTAACACAATCTAATTTCTGATTATTTAACTTATATGTAAATAAAATAGGTTTCTTTTTAGCGTGATACATAATGATTTACATTTACTTTTTTATAAGGAAAGCTTCCATGATTCCGACTATTTTGTAAGTGACCTCAAATCATCCTGTAATAACTGAGCATAATGAAGTTATATCACTTTAAATAGATGTAGGTCATCAGCAAACAAAAGTTATTGTGAAAATTTAAAAACAGAAGGAAGGTCATTAATATATAAATTAAAAAGCAAGGGGCGGCCGGGCCAAGAATTGACACCTGTGGAACTCCAGAACAGGAAGCCACTTGGAGCAAATTCCACTGATGATTACTCTATTGCCTATCGGTCAAATAAGCTGAAAACTATTTCAAAATATTACTTGCTATACGAAACTTTGTAATCTTACAAACAAGGAAATGTATGGGAACAACTATCCTAGAAAAATCAGTGTAGATCACATCCCATTGCTTCTTACTATTCGAAGCCTTGTATGCAGTAAAGAGAAGCAGTGCAAGGTTGGTCTGACACGGTCTTCCAGGGATGAATCCATACTGAACTGGTGTAATAACTGAACTTAAATGATTATAAACCGCATCATGAACAATTCGTTCAAAAATATTTGATAAAGTTGGCGGTACGGATACAGGACGGTAATTTTCCATTTCCTTTTTCGAACTACTTTTGTGAATTGGTGAGAAGTTAGTAAATTTCCATAGGCCTAGCTGGAAAAGTTTATGGATAGCTGAAAATGTTGGAAAGTTGATACGAGAGTGGAGATAGTTCTAAGATAGTAGGCCTATATTGCTTTGATTATTGCCAATGGTTTTAAAAATATCAATCGGATGAGTGCTACTTCAACAGAATGTCTATCTACCACCATTGTTGACATATTGTCAATTAATTAATCTGGAAAAGCAGGACATCCTGCGTTCTATAGAAAGAGTGATCACTAAAAAATGATTTGCAAAAATCATCCATGTTTGATAATTTTACGTAGTGTATCAAACAACAAATTTCCAATCGTATGTTTTATATAATTTGAACAAATAAAGATTTTTGAATTTGATTTTTTTTTAATCGGTATGGTCTTCCGCAAACAAACAAAAATCTCCCGGAAATTCAATTATCTTCCACAAATTCAGTACAAGAACAAATATTTTTGTTTTATTTATATAGGCCTAACCTTTTTTTGTCGTCTGACAGTGCCATTTCCGGTTTCTAAAGGAGCCTATTCTAAAAAAAATATCGTCACCTCAGCCCCAATCATGGTGGGCTTGAGGTGGGCGTGGCCCTTCGTTTGGTACCTACACTTTTCCCCATAGAATATATAGCGCCCCCAACGTCATTAAACAAATCTCTCCCGGAATTTTTTTCTTTCAACTTTGGACCCCTGATATTTATACTTTTAAAATCGTAAAATATTTTATCATTTCATATTAAATAAATGATAATCAATTCTTATCGACGAGTGATCATACTCAAATGTATCATCTCCAATTTTAACATTATCAGTTATGATACCAAATCTACAATTTAAACGTGTTGGAAATTTTTACTGTAAAAGCTCACCAATTAATTGTTCACCCATCGAATTTGAAGGCGCAAAGAGGATGATCTTCTCATTGGATTTCAGGTAAGGCCAAATAACAAAAAAAATCCTTGTTCCAAGTCCCCTCCCTCACCATGTTTTGCGCCCGCATCAATTTTATTTATTTATTTATTTTTGCTGTTGTTATTTTTAAAATTCTTGGATTTTTTTACATCGAAAATGCAAAATTTCAATTGCTGACACATTTTATAGTTTACAAATGCAATTTTAAACACAAAGAACATGATAAAAGTCAGAGAAGCAATAACAAAACTATTGACAAATTGTTTACAGTACGGTACATTTTGCTATGCAGAGAACATTCTGGGGCATATTTTGACGAACTGTGGAAAATAACTAACAAGTATCAAATAATAAGTGCCTCCCTCACCAACTTCTTGAAAAACCCAAGACAGGAAACAATGATTTTTTGTTACTTGGTCTAAGGCCCCATAAAAAAAAAATGTGCGGCCAGCCAATCAAAATTGGCTAGAAAACATCTTGTTTCATACGGCCCGACACCAATCATAATGTAAAAAGTAACATTAAAACTGAGAATAAAGTGATGTAAAAGCAGTGCTTGGAGGTTTTATAAGCTGACTGGAAACATCAAAGTTTGGGTGCGGCCCTCGGTGTTAAATCAAAAATTCACTTTGGCCCTCGGACCGATTTTTATGCCCTCCCCTGCTGTACTTACATCAACAACTGTACATGGAGTTCGGAAGAGGGCGCTGTGTACATAAAAAAAAAAAAAAAAAAAACGAGATTCAGCAGGATGACCTTTGACAATCAAATTCAGATAGATCATCTGTGAATCGATAAAGGGATTGTTGACAAAATGAACTTTCTACTCTACTACAACAAAGTATTCTTTTGGAGTATGGTTTGTGCGCTTTATATTTCATAATTGAATGCTATTAATTATCTAAAATGTCATGTTTTTGTGAAATACCTTGTGATGATCCATATCTTTTGTAAATTGGTGCAGCTATTTTAGTAGCGGAGGCCCAGCATCGGTGTTTGAGTATAATATAATTGTCTTGCCTGCTGGCTGGGTGAAGCAAAGGAGACGGTGAATGGACGTTCTACTTCTATCGTTCAGTAGTACTAGCCTAGTGAGTAGTCGAAACATACTTTTTATGATTGCTGTTGGAAGACTGAAGTGGTGGACAACACCATAAAGCGGAAGTAACTCACGGCTGAATTTATATTTTGATTTTAATATGTCGGCTGTGGGGAACAAACGGTTTCCACAAGTTAATAAACCGCAGAAGAAAACCCAGTCCCCAGTACTATTTGTGGAGAATTCTCAAACTACAGGAGGAAGTAATAATGGAGGACTTCAAAAAAGTTCTCAAATCGCCAACACGGTAAGTAAAGTGCCTTATGATGGCTGATTAGGCTTACACTTTTATTTGACACAATATTCCAATGTAATGCACTTGTCAATTCACCTGTGGATGTAACCGGCATTGAAAGGGCCAGGAATTTTACCGGGACTACAAATGTTTCCCGGCAGTACAGCGGCGGGGACTTAGCCAGGGATGTATGTTAAAACGATGCCCCACATTGCCGGGAGGTGGCCGGGAATTTCACATGTGTAACCGTTTCGTAAATTACTCCCCTGCTAACTCCCCATTAGGCACGGATACGGGGTGGGGGAACTACAATTGACAAGTGCATAATTGATTGACATGCGCATCATCTAATCAAGGTAATGCAACAACAGGACGTGTATCTCCGCTCGCAAACCTAGCGTGGGCTTACAGTTCTTTTTCTCTATACAGTGGCATCGACAATCCGATACTAGTTGTGAGTAAACAGTAGCCGTCAATTATTACATGCGTGCCATACGTTTTCTGGTGTTAGTTACTATTTTATTAATTTTTTTTTGGTACTTCGCAATGTCTGATTACATCTGATTTCTTGTGACCACGGGCTTCTATAAACCATCAGTTTTGGTTTTGTCGTGCAATTGAAACATTAGATAAGTACAACTGGAATTTGTGTTAAAATAACCAGTTTGCATACCAACTCTAACCAAATGCCAAGTTTTTATAAACTGTTTATTTTTGACCATGTTTTTTTTTTAACTGTTTACTGTATTTTTGGCCATGTTTTGTAGGGCTGCCATGTGTGCTGTTATTATTCTGGTAAATATTTGCATAAATCTTAATTTTACAGTAATCATAATTTCTTTTTTAACATGTTCTGTGAATGAAACTTAAAAGTAGGCTATTACTGTATTGTTGTTTTATCCTGTTGTTTAGCGCTACGCTTCCCAAACTATGGGTCATGACCGAAAAAATTTTTCGGTCAAACTTTTGCGTTGGGTCGCAAGCAGGTTTACAAAAAACAATTCAATTTATGTGCTCATTTTCAGACAGTTGATGTGAAATTTAACAGATCTGATGACTTAAAACAGCATTTTTATGTGAATCCCCATTAGAACAATATTTTTTTATAGTAGTAGTAGTAGTAACTAGTGGCGTACCCGGATGGTGCTCTGTCACCCCGAGCACCCCCTCAGATGTTGGAAAAAAAAGTTCCGCTTTTAAAACGTAAAAAAAAAAAAAAATAACTGACATAAATTTTAAGTATTAAAGTTCCATTTTCCAGATATAGTATTAAGTTACGTACGGTAGATTTTTTGGTTTTGTATTAAAGTGCCATTTTCCGGCATCTAAAGGTTGCAGATTCCTACAAGAGTCTTACCTCAGTACAGTACATACCTGTACACAACAATGTCAATGATTATTATAAAATACTTTAGTGAATATTTTGATTGCTCTCCTTTTGATTTGAATGAATTTTATTTGAGGTGGAATGACCCAACTGTTAAATCATAATCAGTGATCGTAGTGTACAATATGTGCAAACATTGTACACCATTGCATACAGTCAGTATATTCAAATAAGTTTTTGAGGGCTTTTTAGTACAGCTGATTTGTTTTTATATATATGATTTTCTTGTTGGTTATCATTTTAGAAAGATTGTTTTCAAGCCCTGTTGATTTAATGTAGCGTGATAAAAATCAATCACGTCATAAAAAATCTCAATGTGTAATGAAATGGTTTTTAAATACATTATTTGAATAAAACTTTGTTGCCTGGATTCTATGGCCATACCTGTACCTGTAATTTCTTAAACATTCTTAAATTACATTGAAACAGTGCCACCAGCGAGTCATTGTTGAACTATTGTTGATAATGTTCTGTATAAATCGGGAAAATGTGAGGTAAATTAAGGTGTGATTTAATATGATTCAAATGGATGAATGATTTTGCATCTCATGTATATTTTTGTAATAAAACATGTTCTTCAAACTTCCAAATGGCGGGTATGTTGTAAACTAGACTGACAATTAAATAATATTTAATTGTCAGTCTAGTTTACAACATATTCTTATTACTGTAGTATCTATGGAACAAGTGAATGCACTGGAGGGTTTAGGTAGAGAGGCTACAGATACCTCATGAAAAACCTAATTGTACAAATGCATTGTCTCTACAGTACCATAGCTACCCTGTAGTAGAGGACTTCAGCCTAGTGGATGTCAACTTCGAAGAAATTACGCAAATGTTTATTTGATTCGTCTCCAAGAGATTAAATTTAGAGTTCTTCTCTTCCGTTGCTTCTAAGTTTTATACTGCACGCTTTCTTAATGTTTCTTTGTAGATGTTCAAACAGACATTTTACAATTCTACTTGTCTTCAGTTTAAATCACACTTTTTGACAGCAGTTATCTAATTTATTTGACTAAAAGTTGTTTGGAATACTTTATTGTGAAGGCTTGTGAATGACAAATTTTAAACAGCAACACATAGGATTTTTTTGTTCATATTCTCAGCATAGCTAAACTGTAAGTCCATTAAGCCAAATTTTGTAATTTGTTGTTTATCAAAAATGGCACAGTGAAATTAATGAATTAAAAATATTTTTAAAACTTGGAGCAAAATATCGTAATCATTAATTAGTAAATAAAATAAAAACTTTTTGTAACTGTGTATCAGAAACAATTGATTGACAATTAACCATGGTATACCAAAATTTATTGATACTATCCATGCAAGCCTTCAAGATTAACATAATTATTACATAAATTTTTCTGTGCTACAGTATATTTTAAGTGTAGAAAAATGGAATATGAATTAGAGATGTTTGAATTCAGTATCAATTACTTGTACCATACTGTACGTGAAATATAAATTACAAAAATCAATTAAACAATTAGAATTGTTTTAATAAAATTTATGGTTAAGCTTGCAGTACTTACTGATACCAGATACATTATTAATATAGAATTTATTCAAGAATTATATATACAGTAACTGTAAAATGTAAAATTTCATTATGTCCACATGCTAGGGATGGTTTCGTAATGGGTCTAATAATTTTGGTTTGGCTCACATTCTACTGTAATTAATCTCCTCTATTTTTCATTCTGAAATGCTGATACACTGACATACTGTACCTATAGTACTGTATCTTCATAACAAACTCGTTCATCACTAGGCTTACTCTACTAATTTCATATTGCTGTTTTTATGAGACCTCTAGTAGGCTCCTCAATGGAAAATACAATACCACTTAAAAAACTGTTAATAATTAACTATTTGTTATCATGAGAACATGTACAATATTGTAAGTGGTCTTGTGACATTCTCTTTAGTGTAATTGATTTTGCATTAGTGATCTGTAAAATTGATGTGTTGTTGGCCAATAAAGTACACATTCAAGGTTATTGCTATGCTTTTTCCCGACCGATTGCCGCATAATTTACATGAGAATTGGGAAGAAATTGTCCTTTTGTGGATCATAATAACTTTTTGAGGACATTATGGTGTAAAAATAATCTAATTCCATCACACGCACAGCCTTGTGTGTTCATAATTTTGCCTGTAGAATAGCGTAATTTTATTCTAATGATGTTCTATTGGCTAGTTTCAGCTTCGTGGAAAACCGATTTTATAAATTTCGTTCCTTGATCGTCGCATTCGTCACAGTTTTGTGAGAGAGTTTTCAAGTTTTTCGATGACACATTTCCTGGGCTAGCCTCTGATTCATGGATTTGAGCTAGTAGTAACTGCATGTGTCAATCTTTGACCCATGGATGGCATTCAACAAATTTCTCATGTTAATCTTTCACCTCATTGTGGGATGTATTTCAGAGTAAAGCTCATGTGGTGTTAATGCAACATGCAGTTAAAAAAGTTGGAGTAAGATATTGGTTGGAGGAAAGTACTGTAGCTCAGTCATTTGGTCTAGAACTCAATCAGTTGCTAAAAATGAAAATAGTGCTCAAACTCAGACATAATACACTTTCTTTTGTATTGTATGAACATATTTTTATAAGAATTGCAAGGCTGAAATTGTTCAAGCTACTGCAGTAAATAATTAATAATTTTTAAAAAGATATCCTTTGCAGTTTCTCTTAGTTAGTGTTACGTATTTGGTAGGTGCTATCGCTCTACCCCGACTCGTACTGTACAAACAGGTACCGGAACATCCTCTACCCATCATCCTCTACCCATCAGCCATTTAGGCACTTAACGCTAGGCCTACCGTGGTTAGATGTATTGTACGAGAGGGATATGAGTCTGTTAGCATAGTTTTTGTTTAGTTTTGTAATATGTAATTGTGTCTCATGGAGCAATATCAATTTCTATTTATTTTTATGATGCAAATAACAATAGAAATGAAATGAAATATACTGTAAAATTATTTTTGTCTTATCTGTCACTTACAGTATGTGCAGTAGATGTGATTATGTAATACCATAGATATAGTACAGATTACTCCTATGATAATTTTTTTCTATCCTTGAAAAGTGTTTATAAATAAAAACAAAATAAGACCATTTAGAGCTTGAAATTAAAATATAATAAGAACAAAAATGTGTAGTCAATTGTGGTAAAGACAAGCCAAACTAGTCACTCGTCGCAAATCGTGTTTCAGAGAAAATGGCCAAAACATGCTAAAAAGTCAAATTTTTAAAAATCTATTTTATTGCACTAAACTAAACTTGATATATCTACACACAATCCTATGCTGTTATTTTCCCCATTTTCAATGTTAAAACAACACTTTTTAAGGATTTAAAGATAGTTTCTGTGTGAGAAATGCCTGAAATCATCAACTTTGAAGGCTGATTTCCCGTATATTGTTCTTTAAACAGCTGTGTGGTTAAACGCTTGTAACTTCATAAGGAAATGTCCGATTTGAATGATTTTTTTACCATTTTGTAGCTAATATTTTACTCTCTAACACTGTATTAATAACTCAAAATTGGTTTTTGCGACGAGTGACTGGTTTGGCTTGTCTTTGCCACAATTAGTAATATGTACCACCCCCCC